GTGTGTGTGTGTGTGTGTGTGTGTGTGTGTGTGTGTGTGTGTGTGTGTGTGTGTGTGTGTGTGTGTGTGTGTGTGTGTGTGTGTGTGTGTGTGTGTGTGTGTGTGTGTGTGTGTGTGTGTGTGTGTGTGTGTGTGTGTGTGTGTGTGTGTGTGTGTGTGTGTGTGTGTGTGTGTGTGTGTGTGTGTGTGTGTGTGTGTGTGTGTGTGTGTGTGTGTGTGTGTGTGTGTGTGTGTGTGTGTGTGTGTGTGTGTGTGTGTGTGTGTGTGTGTGTGTGTGTGTGTGTGTGTGTGTGTGTGTGTGTGTGTGTGTGTGTGTGTGTGTGTGTGTGTGTGTGTGTGTGTGTGTGTGTGTGTGTGTGTGTGTGTGTGTGTGTGTGTGTGTGTGTGTGTGTGTGTGTGTGTGTGTGTGTGTGTGTGTGTGTGTGTGTGTGTGTGTGTGTGTGTGTGTGTGTGTGTGTGTGTGTGTGTGTGTGTGTGTGTGTGTGTGTGTGTGTGTGTGTGTGTGTGTGTGTGTGTGTGTGTGTGTGTGTGTGTGTGTGTGTGTGTGTGTGTGTGTGTGTGTGTGTGTGTGTGTGTGTGTGTGTGTGTGTGTGTGTGTGTGTGTGTGTGTGTGTGTGTGTGTGTGTGTGTGTGTGTGTGTGTGTGTGTGTGTGTGTGTGTGTGTGTGTGTGTGTGTGTGTGTGTGTGTGTGTGTGTGTGTGTGTGTGTGTGTGTGTGTGTGTGTGTGTGTGTGTGTGTGTGTGTGTGTGTGTGTGTGTGTGTGTGTGTGTGTGTGTGTGTGTGTGTGTGTGTGTGTGTGTGTGTGTGTGTGTGTGTGTGTGTGTGTGTGTGTGTGTGTGTGTGTGTGTGTGTGTGTGTGTGTGTGTGTGTGTCTGTGTCTGTGTGTGTCTGTGTCTGTGTGTCTCTGTGTCTCTGTGTGTGTCTCTGTGTGTGTCTGCATCTGTGTGTGTCTGTGTGTCTCTGTGTGTGTCTGTGTGTCTGTGTGTGTGTGTGTCTGTGTGTGTCTGTGTCTGCGTGTGTGTGTCTGCATGTGTGTGTCTCTGTGTGTCTCTGTGTGCATGTCTGTGTGTGTGTCTGTGTCTCTATCTCTGTGTGTGTGTCTGTGTCTCTGTGTGTCTGTGTCTCTGTGTGTGTCTCTGTGTGTGTGTGTCTGTGTGTGTCTGTGTCTGTTTGTGTCTCTGTGTGTGTTCTGTCGTCTGTGCTCCGCGAGCGTGGCGACAGGGATTGCGTCTGTAGGTTGGGGAACGTGGCGCCCCGGCAGTGTCTCGTGAGGGCGGTTTTGCCACAGATGGCATTTAGAAAGCGGTGTCTGGGGGCGTGTGTGCGTGCACACGTGCTCTTCCGTGGGGAAGGTCGCTTTGAAAACTCCTGAACGGGCTTGGCCTTTGTACTTCTGCAGTGCAGAAAGGGCACATGCAGCTTTTGTGGAGAAAAATGTTGGCATGGTTTTGCAAAACCCTCTTTTGACTGATTAAGGTGAAGGTATTAGTTTTTCTAGTCAGGCCATGAAGGCCAAAGGAAATCTCATTGTGATTTCAGATTAAAGAAAAACTTTGACGTCTGAATGCATTCTATGTTTTTCAACTTTATACTGCTGTTAGGCAAGTCACGGTATGTTGCTTTGATCTTCTAATATAACCATGTTTAAAACATCTTAATCACAAATCGATTCAGAAAAAGTCCCAAATGGCAACAGTTTCGTCATATGTGCTGAAACCCCTGCTACAAGTTTAGGTTATTCATTTCTCTTCAGTTCTGGGTAGAAACGTTAAATTTTAAAGGAAAAAACTTTATTTCATGGGATCCACTTCTATTTGCTGGTCATTTATATCACTCTGCCCCCCTGGGCTGTGGTTTGTGATCCATCTTCTTCCAGTTTGCCTCATGTTTGTCTTTCACTTACGAGCCCAGCCAGCCACCCCTTCTTCAGGGCAGCATCCTCAGCCCACCCAGGTGTGGAGCCACTCCATGTGGGCAGTACTGCGCCAGTTGGCTCTGACCTTCTTACTGCACCACTGTTGGTGTGGACAGGGCTCTGCCGGTTGTAGGTGGCAGCAAGCTGGGCTTGGGGCCACAGCAAAGAGGGTCAGCTGCAGCCTGGGCTGCCTAAAAATTGAGGAAAGTGACTATCACCCTCTGTTCACTGTTCATTAGACCTCTTCAAGGTACTGTGTCCCCTTTTGAGTCTGCTGTGACAGGAAAGACATGGACCAGCCAGGGCAAGTTCAGGGGAGGCCCCAGGACAGTCAGGGCTGAGGAACACTCAGGAGCAGGGCTTGCTCAGCCCCGGGAGGGCCCCAGGTGGCCACCTGTACCCACCCATGGGGAAGTTGCTGAGACCAGGCAGCCTGGCTCTTCATCTGTGACACAGTGGGAGGGCATGAGGCAACATGCATGAGTGGAAGCAAGAGGCTATCAGGAAAAACTTTCCTCCCCGGGGCAGGCTGCCAGGGCAGGCTGTGCAGGCTCTGTCCTGGGAGGTATCGAGCCCCAGCTGGACACAGCCCTGAGCAGCCTGGTCTGGCCTGGGGCTGACCCTGTCCTGAGCAGGAGACCACACCAGAGAGCTCCCCATCCAACCTGAATTATCCTGTGTTATCCTATATTTATGTCTTCATTTGCCTCAGGTCTGCCCATTTCCTTTCTCCCATATACAAGTTACTTTCTTCCTCTCACCCTTTCCGCTTCCCATTAACCTTATTTAACCAGCAGACTGCATTACTCTAAGTTTTATGTGAATCCCACTGGCAGCTGGAAGCTGTGTTGTGGTGGAAGAGCAGTGCAAGGAAACAACAATGGTACAGCGACATTGTCACCAAGAGAAGAGTAAGGAGGGACCATGGGGCAGCAGGGCTTTTGGGAGCAACCCCTATGGGAAGTGAGTGCAGGTCTCTGACCAGACATGTCAGCTGAGTCAGGAGAGCTCCTGCTGTGTATCTGGGTCAGTGAGGACCATTCATCACTGCAAGGAAATACTTAAGACTGGGGAAGATGAGGAAAAACAAAGCTTCTGACACTGGATAAAGTGAGATGTGGACTGAAGCTATTGGTTTCAATGTACCAAAGTCTTCTCAAATATGTATGATTTAAATAATGAATAAAATCTTATTTAGTTATGTATTTCTTTTCCTCTGGCAAAAAGCAGAGGGCAGGAAACTCATAAGCCAAGTATTTACTTAATCATGTTTCCTGAAAGGATAAAACTAAAAAAATTAATTTAGAATTGTTAATTTATTATTTTATCCATTTTGAAATGATATTTGTCTTTCCTTTTGCATGTGTAATTTAATGATATTTGTCAAACATTTTAGGATTATGGATTAAATCCTGAAACCCTTGAAGAAACAATAATTTCACTGTTGGCTTTTAAGGAGTCTTTTTCTACCCTGTAACAGTAGGAGGGATCCTGGTTTGACTTTGATCAGTGCTCTGTTACGGAAATAGGCTAATAAGTATTGATATTGAAAATTTAAATCCTTAGTGGAGTGGCTTCATCAGAACAGTAATAAATAAGTCTTGCTGTCTTTGTTGTAGAGGATTTCACTCCAGTTCCATTTAAGGCCCCACCACCGCCAAAAACAGAAAAAATGTTTCCTCCTTATACTGGATTTGGTTCTGAAGAGGATTCTCTGTGCTCCTGTATGGGTCTGCTTCCCAAGCCTCCCCAAAAAGATTTTAAGAAATTCATGGAGAAAGACAGGTATTTCAATGAAAAATCACTGCAACTTTGTAAATTATATCTTTTTGTGAGGAAGATAAATGTTAAGTAGAGGTGTCAATTTTAAACAAAATACTCGGCTCTTCAGACTTTTAAGGAACAGGTGCATGAAGACTGGTTTAGTGACACTGTATTCCAGTTTTCTCTGAACTCAACAAAATTTCTCTTTTGAAAAGGCAAATATTATGATCCTCCCATCCCCTAACTTCTTCCCTTCTGCTGTCTTCAGTGGGAGTTTGATGGAAGTCTTAGTCCAGGAATTAATGAGGAATTTTGTATGCTTCAGCAGTCCAACACTGATTTGTTTTTCTGTTTGACTTTCTGGCATTTGCTTTTTTTGTCTGCTGAATTTAATGTAGTTTACTATAGCTATATTAAAATATTAACCCTTTACTTTCCATTATGAAATGGTTTGTCAGGCAGTGGTTATTGAAGCTCAAGTGGAAAGCAAAGTCACATGCTAGAATTTCACCTGTAGAACCTCTGTGAAAGAAGAAAGCTATTAGAAAAAAGCTTGGGAACATATTGATAGTGCATATAGCGGTAGTGTAAATCCTTTAAAACATGAACACTTAGCAAATATCCAACCAGTGGGCCTGATTTTGTGGAGATAATCCTAGTTATTGCTATTCAGAATTTGATCTGAAAATATACATACCTAAATGTGTCCTTCCTTTATAAATTTTTTGGAAAGAAACTTGGTGCTTGATTTGCAGCTGAATTTGAATACAAATTCATTCCAGGCCTGTGGCAGAGAAATAATTTTCCCCTGAAGATGATTGCTTTCTATCTGTCTGACTCTATCTGGTTCTGTAAATTTAAGCTGAAAATGTTTTCTGACAAAGTAGGGAATCTTATGTCATTTCCCTTCTTGGTCCAGGAATAACACAATATGTGTTACAAAACTCAGAAGAATACATCTCTTAGTGATGAAAACTTTTCTCATACTCTGTTTCTGATTTCTTACCTCTTCTTTTGCTTTTCAGAATTGGCATGGAAAGTAACATACTGCGCTTTCTTGCAAAACTTGTCACAGAGAGTCCTATTGACAAGGATCGAAAATTCATTATTTCCTACTTCCTGAGTGATGACACCATTTCAGTTTTTGAACATACACAGCAAAACACAGGTAAGATGTAACAAGGTCTTGCAATCAGTCCCAGTTGCCCTGCTCATTTGATTGGAGTTCACAGTAAACTCATCACCAGCAGAAGCAGGGATAGAGTTCTAAATGGGAATTACATAAGCAGGTCTACTGTATTATCTTGCATAGCTATTTGTCATAGTAATTTATAATCTCATCACTCAGAATAATACTGTTCATTGTATGACAGCACTTCACAATATCCTTTGGGAACTGGAAATTTAATGCATTAGAACGTTTATTACATTTTAATTTGCAAATTTGGCCTTTAAGCATTTGCTTTTGTTGCGGATAACATACAGGAATTGTGTTGTAACATGATAAATAGGGACAGGAAATGTAAGAAATCAAGAATGAAAGATTAAATCCTTTTGTTTTGCAAGACTGTATTATGGTGTTATGAAACCTATGTAGCATCCGTTGTATAGAGGCACCTCATGAAACCAAAACAGCTGTGATATTGCTTAACATACTTTATCATTAATCATGTAGTGTTGAGCATATAAAAAGTGAAGATTGCCCTATGCTAGCGTTGGTACGTGTGTATGTGTGTGTATAATACTGAACTGAATTTCAAGAGCCAGGCTAACAGTGTTTAAGTGACAAACGCTTTGTTACTTCTCAGTTGCTTGATCACTTTTATACTACTGCTGAAGCACGGTCACCCACTGTTGTCACGGTTAAATTCTTTTGACCACTGTTGCCTCTTGTAGGCAGCCTCCAACTGAGGAGGTTTTGTGATTTTCACGCATCTTTTTATTTGCTTGGAGTGCCCTGTGTATGGGAGGAAGGACACAGCACTGGGAAGGATGTCAGGAAGTCATTTTGTAACTCAGAGAGATAGGGAAGCCTTGGCTAACCATAACCCTGTTGGAGAGATTAGTGTATTTCTGTGAAGCCCACAAAACATCTGCAGCAAGAGTATCGGAGCAGTTAACATCCCGAAGTGCTCTGGCACCTCTCAACACGTGCAGTTGAAGGGGTGACTCTTAAAAGTTGCTGTCAGCCTCTGATAAAACCATACAGAGAATAAACTCAGGAAATCACATTCTCTCAAATACAAGAGAAAAAGAGTAATAGATGGTTTCCTTAGTTTCCATGTTAGGCTTTTGTGGAACCTCGTGATTAGCTCTTTTGATACTGCTTGAATTGCCCTGTATCAGCATCTTGACACAGAGCACCTTTGTATGGTATTTCAAGTACACCCTGCAATGGAGACCAGCTCACTGTGCTCAGTACTGACCTGTTTGGTACTCCCAGCTTGTTGTCTAGAGCAAAGACTGTCCTAGGGAGGATTGTTCAGTCCCCTTTGCTTCAGGCTCTAGTGCCACCAGTTGACTTTTCTGAGGTCCAGTTATTCAGCTTACAGTTAAGATATAAGTATTCTTGTGACCCTATGCTTAAGTCTTTACTGTAAATGATTTCTGATGTTAGTTCTTTTCAGATCTATGATGAACATGACATCCATAAAAAATGGAGGTGTTGTGAATATCTAGACCTTTCTGTATTCCTAGAGAACTCTTTCTGTGCCAGTGGTGCTACTGAATCATTTTGAGTGCCCTGTACACGGGTAGGTTTTTGGAAGACCTGAGCCTTCTGAGTGAAAAGAACTTCTAATGGCATCTCTGCTTGCCTCCAACTGTTACAAATGCATAAATAGGGACCTTACACCCAACTAAAATACAAACAGTTCTCTGAGGAATGTTATGAAAATGTGTAGAGTACCTCCCTAGGCTTCAATGAGCATTCCCAGTTAGCCCTGCTGCACTGCAACATCAAGATTTAGCACCAGTGTCCCGTCGTCATTATGTCATTAGTTTCCTGCCATCCAGTGGCTTGTAATTTATGCAACTTCTTTTATTACAGTTAAAGATACATACACATATGTATATATTTATTATGTAATGCTACTGTGAAGCTCAAGAGCAGGTCAGTTCTCCACTAGTGAATTACATGTTTGGTTGGCATTCTTTCTATCTGGAGACATAAAGGATGCTAAGGGTACAGCTGCACTGTTAAATTAAAGAAGTCTAGGGAACAGTTTGAATCTTGGACCCCAATCATATCCATTGCCTGTTCAGTCACTCCCGGTTCTCCTTTGCACCACTCCAACTAGACAAGGCCCCAGAGAGAGCCTGGGGCCCCTCTTGGAGAATGCCTACCTCTAGAAAACTCTCAGGCAAGGCAGTAAGAACAAGGCTGCACCAGATTTGGCTTGCTCCACCCTTATCAGTCATCTAGCACTATCCCAGGAGGTTTCGAACACTCAGAAATTCAGGCCCTTCTGCCACACCCAGGGTCTGCAACACATACCCTCAGTTTTATGCTGAAAAACACCACTCTGTTGGACTCTGCAGCACAGCTCTCATATACCTTCAAACAGTTTGAACACACACAAATATCAGCTGTTTCTTAAGACCCCAGATTTATCATGTAGCACCCAGAGCAGGGCCAGAGCCACACACTGCAGGGCAGATGTGGTCAGTTGGTCAGGCTCTCAACAGCATGGGTGCTAGGCCAGACATTGCTTCCTGCATTCCTTTTATTTTGGGATGAGAATATATGCTGGGATTGCAGCTGGGAGCCCACTCTGAACATTGCTAGTCAAACAAGATGTGGAATGATAAATGGTGAATTTGCATACCAACAAAAGCAAATGCTTTAAGACCCCTGTGAAAGGCAAGTATCTGTAAATGGGTTTTTAACTTCCCTGGGATGTTAAAGTGGATGGAGTAGCTGACTTTCAGAGGTGGTAGAAAGGTGAAGTGGAAGGATGAGGTGAAGAACTGGCCATTGGAGAATTTAGTGAGAACAGCCTTGAAGAGGCAGGATAAGACGTAGGATGGAGGGGAGGTAGAGCAGCAGTTGGAAAGAGCTCTGGGACTGCAGAAGTTTCTTTGTTTCTTCTTTCCTTCGTTTCTATCTTACATCTCTTCTCTCTCTCTATCCCTCCCTCGTTTTAGTCATGTCTAAAAGAAAAGTGGTTTTCTTCATGGTTAAGGATGAGAAGGCTTTGGAGACAGAGAATTCTCTTCGAATACACAGTTCCCCATAGAATTCTCATAGAAAAACTGTCTGATCATGGCCCGGAAGAGTGAACAGTCTGCTGGGTCAAGCACTGTCTGGATGGACGGTCCCAGAGAGTGGTGGTCAATGGAGCTATATCCAGCTGGTGGCCAGTCACAAGTGGTGTTCCTCAGGGCTCGGTGTTGGGACCATTTCTGTTCAACATCTTTATTGATGATCTTGATAAGGACATAGAGTGCGTCATCAGTAAGTTTGCAGATGACACCAAGTTAAGCGGGAGTGTCGATCTGTGCAAAGATAGGGAGGCACTAGACAGAGACTTGGATAGATTGCATTGGTGGGCCAATGTTACCAGGATGGGCTTCAACAAGGCCAAGTGCCAGGTCCTGCACTTGGGCCACAACAACCCCATGCTACAACAACTCAATCACTACAGGCTTGGGGAGGTGTGGCTGGAGCACTGTCTGGAAGAAATGGATCTGGTGTTCTAATTGGCAAGCAGCTGAACATGAGCCAGCAGTGTGCCCAGATGGCCAAGAAAGCCAACGGCATTCTAGCTTGTATTAGAAATAGTGTGACCAGCAGAAGTAGGAAGGTGATAGTCCCCCTGTGCTCTGCAACTGGTGAGGCCACACCTTGAGTATTGTGTCCAGTTTTGGGCACCTCAATACGAGAGAGATATCAAGGTGCTGGAGCGAGTGCAGAGGAGGGGAACGGATCTGGTGAAGGGCCTGGAGAATAAATCTTATGAGGAGCAATTGAAGGAGCTTGGACTGTTAAGTTTGAGGAAGAGAAGGCTGAGGGGAGACCTCATCACTCTCTACAGCTACCTGAAAGGACATTGTAGAGAGGTTGGTGCTGGTCTCTTCTCACAGGTAATTAGCGATAGAACAAGAGGGAATGGCTTTAAACTGCAACAGGGGAGGTTCAGACTGGACATTAGGAAAAGATTTTTCACAGAAAGAGTGGTCAGACAGTGGAATAGGCTGCCCAGGGAGGTGGTAGAGTCACCATCCCTGGAGGTGTTTAAGGGTTGTTTAGATGAGATGTTGGGGGATATGGTGTAGGGAACAACTATGGTTGGACTCAATGATCCCAAGGGTCTTTTCCAACCTGAATGATTCTGTGGTTCTGTGATTCTGAGTGGTCTGGTAAAAGCAGCTAGATAAAAAGGAGTAAAACATGCAAAATGGGAGTGAGAAGAACATGTGTGTGTGAGAAGGAAAAGTGTTGAAGTGGATGGGGTGGGAGAAGAGCAAATTTGAGCACATTTCAGAGAGGGGATGAGTTAAAACAGTAATTTACTCCCAAAATAACAACCTGAAGGTCCCTTTTGTGCACAGGTTCAATGGGCTATTTTTGCCTTTTTATTTGCATGTTTGATACAAATTGGCAAGTAAAAATGTTTCAAATCTCAGTCCTAAAATGGAACTAATAAATTGCTCTTACTTTTCTCAGTCCTGAAGGTGCAGAGAAGTACTTCACACTATTAGTGCACTGTGAAGCTGTATTTGAAAGGCACAGGGCTGGACATCTTGAAGCACTTGTTGAGATGGGGGTCAAAGCATGAGAACTTTGGCTCCCCATGCAGAAGATCACAAGCTCTTTTTTACTCAGTGTAAGACCAAGCCAACAGCTGTACAAACACCTGCAAAGTCCAATCTGATCTTAATGGAAGAGGGTCTTTGGTTGCGGTGTTTATTTTGTGCCTTGAGCCTGGCTTTGTAGATTTCCATCAAAATTTCTCATCAGGTTTCAGTGTAAAATCACTTACCTAATGAGATATTTTCAGTTGTTTTCCTTTATACCTCTTGAAACGTACTAACACATAATGTTTAAAAAACAATTATGTGACAGAGGTATTAAATTTCCAATCTAAGCACACAGTTGCAGGGAAATAGAGAGACGAGTGAAGTTCCAATCTTACAGAGACCAGTTTTGTTTAAATATTACAAACAGTTGCCAGGATTATATAACCTAAAAACTGCATATTTGTTTTAATAAGCTAGGTGAAAAGAAATGTGTTAAGATTAGAGTTACATTAGAAATTTAAATTGTTTTTTGATTCAAGCTAGATCTGACCATTGCCATTGTGGTTTTTTTGTCTTTTGCTTTTATGGTGCTGATAAAGCAATTAAGACAGACATCTGCTCCAAACTCTGGTTTACTAAGTAGTTTGGGTTTCACATTCATTTATAATTTTGACTATAAAAGGCATTTTATTGCACTCTTCATCAGCCTTTTATTGGACTTGCATCACTACCTAATATGTAAGGCGTCATTAAATGTTACTAAAGTATATGTCTTTTTGTCTTTTTGGCTTGGAAGCTCAAATATAAACAGGAAGAAAACCCCAGGCACTCCAGAGTTGTTGTAGGGCACATATCCTGTTGAAACTAAACATAACAGAATGCTTGCTAGAAAGCTTGGTAGCATGCAATGCAGTCTTCTGGTGCACCAGAAGATATTACTGGAAATATACTGAAATATTACTTGAGCACTGTGTGCAGTTTCCAGTGGCATGAATAAAATAATTATAATGTGAAAAGATATAATGTCACATACCCAGCTCACGAAAGAAATAACATCGTAATTAAATTGTATTGGCAGAATAGTATGTAGAAGTTAGTGTCGCTCCTACTTTTTTTTTTTTTACATTCAAAAGCCCTTGAAAACGAGTTAGAATTACAGCGCACTAGAATTCATGATCTTTGTAGGACTGTGCTATCCTAAGTTGTGAATTGTTTTTTTTCTTTTTTTGCTTTAACAGTTCAAGGATAATTGCCTGCATCTTACATTTTCCATCTTACATTTCTCAGGGGTCAGTCCCAAGGATGGCAACAGGGTTATGGGAACGATTTGAAGAGGCACATTTCTGTCCCATTTTAAAGAAAAGCGAAAAAAGGAAGGTGTTTGGCAGGCATTCAAATGAGACATGTCACAGAATATGCACAATGTAACTGTTGCTGTGGACGCTGGCAGAGACAGTTCTAGCAATGAGAAGGAGGGGGAGAGTATATTATAAGACACTCAAGAATGAAAACTGATATTTAAATACAAACCAGTTGGTTTGGGTTTTCATTTGTGGTTTTAGTTTCCCAAGTAAAGCCACAATTAATTATTTACAATTCTATTCCCATAGGGATACTTGGTGGGAAGTTCTTGGAAAGAGGTCGCATTAAGAAGCCTGGACAGGAGCTCTTTAAGAGTGAGCCATCTGAATACTTCAGTGCTCAGAATCTGTTTGTTGGAGCCAGAGTTTGTTTCCATGGTCACAACTTCCTTCTGGTGGATGCCGATGAGTACACGTTCAACTACATGGAGAAGCATGCAAATGAGGTGAAGCAGGGTCTTGTTACTTTCTATAATCTTTGAGGACTGTACCTTATTTATGTATTCTCAGAACTACTTGTACGTAATTTCTTCACCCAAAGTTTACATCCCAGTGCTCTCTGTCTTGTAATGGATTTAGGAGACGCTAACTAGGGAGTGCACGCAAGCCTGGCCACTCTTTACTGTCCATTCCACTTCTAATTCCTCAGAATCCACTCTTACTGTATTATGGATTGTTAGAAGATATATCCCTGCCTGTTCCTTCTTGAGAATGTATATGGACCTCTTGTCCCTGAATTGGATCTAACCCTTGTTGAACCTACAGATACTGTCTGCTTCCACAGCCTTCTATGGCAGCAAGTTGAAAAGTTTGCTGCCTGCTATGCAATATAAATATAAATATATGATAAAAGAAGTAAGTTTCTTCTATCTGTTTTAAACCAACCTCCCATTAGTTTCAATGCCAGTTCTAGCATCCTGGAGTTTGATGAAGATCCCCATTCACCTTATGCACAACTGTTACAGTTTTGTAAATCACAGACATTCTTCTCCCTCAGCGTGATTCTCCTCAGTTAAGAGTCTCACCCTATTTTAGTCTGTCCTTGCAAGGACATTATGAGATACGGAGACTGGAACAGTGCACAGTACTCAGGATGTGGGCACATCCAATTTATAGTCTTGCCAATGAGGCTGTTTTATTCCCTGGTTTGATTGTTTGGGTTCATACATATTTATCTGCCAAATTGTTTCCCTTGTAATATTAGAAAGTCATATCAGAGTCAGGAATTCAAGATTACAGCTTGTACTGATTTTCACTATAGTTTGGTGTTGCCTTCAGAGGGGAGAGCAGCAATAAATAGAGCGCTGGGGTGCCTCTGCTGATGTATCCTCTATGCTACCAGTCACTACACAAATGGCTGGTAAAGAAGCTCTCATCCACTAAAGCCAGAAATGTATCCAATAGGAGAAAGTTGATTGTCCTGTAGCAATTGTCACAGAGGTCAAAAAAGAAAGGATACAGGGATGGACAACCACAGTAGAGTCACAGAGCATTTTGTGGGATTTTATGTTGGTTTAGTAAGAAATGTAGATTATGGTTTCTGCTGCAATATTTGAATAAATGTACCCTGGTACACTTGAAAATTCCTGTTATGTGCAGCTCTGACCCCATTGCCCTGAGCCAGCTCAGGAGCCAAGGCACATCTGCATCTTAATCCCTCTTATGCAGTATTGCTTCATCACAGTGTGATCTTGAACATCGGCCTTTGGACTCGACTGTGCTGTGAGGTGAATACTTCATAGCTGGTGGTGGGGTGGAAGCATGAATTGTGCCTTCAACAGACCTTCTCCAGAGCTGCTCTTTTGCTTAGCCTATTAAAGTATGATAAGGGATTGCCTAGGGAAAATAGCCAGGAGGGTTTATCAAGCTATGGTCCTCTGCCTGTTTCTCCAAACCTTCTGTGGATGAAGAAGGGAGAAGGTTCTTAGTGCAAGTTTTAATTGGTCCCTGTCTGCTGCCTCACCAAATTTTGTGAACCTGCAGGACACCCAGACACCAGTAGGCCTAGTGCAGTCTTGATGACTGCAAGTCTTGATGCCATTGTGCTGCTGAGGCAGAGGTAGATGCAGCCTGACCCTGTGCTGCCTTTGGGCCACACATTCTGTTCTTACTCAAACAAAAATAGCAGAACAGCATAATTTCTTTGTAAATTAGCGTGGAGTTAGCACCACCTGCCTTCCCTGGAATAATGAGGAAGGTCTGCAAATTGCATGTTGATATAAAATGCTATGACTGCTAAATGCTTTAAGCAGTAAAACACAAAGCTGTATACATTATGTTTTCTTGCTGCTGGAATGTTTCTTGTCCTAGTAGAATCAAAACCAAAGCTATTCTCCAAAATGCAGAGCACATCATTAAATAGTAAGTGTTCTTTGGTTTGCACCGATTATCCTGGGTCAGACAGGTGAGATCCTAGTTTTCCAGATGGAATGACTGTACATTATCAAAATAAAATCTGCAAAATGGGAAGAAGCAGCACTAAAAATACTTCTTTGAGTTTTGAAATGTTCTTTGTATGGTTAAGATTTGAAAACAGCTGGCAGAAAAAAAGGTTTTTCTCCCAATGATAGATGCTTTACTCACATCCTTTGAACAGAGCTCCAAAAGTAAAGACACACCTTGTTTGCCTCAGTTCATCAGGGGATTGCATACCCAAATCACAGGGACTTCAGCAATTATTAGAGAAGAGTAGAGCTGGAAGATGGTTTGAAGAAGAATTTTAAGATTACTGTTTGTCAGCTATTTCTAAAATGAGAAAAATTATTTTCCTTCTGAATAGAAAGAAGTTTTCCTTTTTGCAGAGCACAACAGTACATTTTCTGAAAACTGGTGAAAGAAATCCAGGTGGAATGTTTTTCTTCTGGAAAGTGTCGTTTTGACCACATTTCTATAGGCATATGATGATTTAGATGAAATTTTGATTGGTAATCATAGTTCAGGTGGGAATTGATTTTGCTATCATTGAAACATTTGTTGACACCATATGAGATATTTGGAAAGTTTTAATTTTTGGTTTCAAAATTTTATTTATTTATATTGCTTTTAAGTTATGGGGAGAGAAAAAAATCATTGAGTCTTGTCATTTTGATTGCCACCTGTACTGAAAGTAACTTTAAGGATCTAATTCTTAAAACTTTCCAACTCTTTTAGTTTCTTTTCCCATTTGAGGAAAAAGAAGATGTATTTAGAAACTGTGAATTTGCTTGCAAAACAGAACATGTGTGTTATGCGCAGTCCTACTGGTATTATCCAGGTTTGAGGAGTGTTTCAAACAAGGCATCACTGTGCCTCCTTGGAAATGAATTCGTCATCTCTGAAACAGTCTCATTTGTTCAAACTTTGTAGTCTTCTGCAGCACAACACAGAGGTTGATTTTACTTCCATTGAATTCAGCATAATAAACTTGACTTAAGCAAGACAGTCAAACAAAACTATATTGTTACTACTAGCATGTCAGCAATTACATGAGAAGGAGGGAAGGTAGGTAAAGATTGCCATGCTGCTCTATTCGGTGTCTACGTAGGTGTTTGGAATACGTAGTTTAGAAAAAAGATGTAAAAATAACTGCTTTGATAATATAGAGAAGACAGGTTCTTAAATAGACAGAACACTTTGTCCATCTCTAAATACTCTGCTCATTGATTCCTTCTGCCCAGTCTTTTCTCAATCTCTGTTCATTGGCTGCCTCTAAAATTTTTTGATTGCTGGTCCAGCTGCTTCACACCATTACTCTGTGTGACAATGCATGCCAGGGTGGTACCTGGAGTTTTGGCATTGGCACCAATTGTCTTCTCTAAATCTGAGCATGTTACCTCTAACCACTGATGTATTAATTAAATTTGAATCAATTTGTACTGCTCTGGCAGTGTCATAGGGACTTTAAATACCCTTTTCTAGATCCCTTTGAACTGATACAAAGCTGTAGACAGGCTTCAGCAGTGAGATCCGTTCTCTGTTACGATTAGGGCCTTAATACCAGTCATAATTTCAAATTTCAAATAAGTTAGTTGAAACAACGTTGCTTACTGGAAGAAATGGAAGAAAACTATTTTCAGACAGTTCATTATGCTTTATACGTTAGGTGGAGCATTACAGATATAAGGGCATATCAGATACTAATACTTGGACTCAACCCCAATTTAATGACTAAATACATAGATATTTTATGTTAAAAATTAGTATAGCAAATAAATCTTTGGTAGAGCACTAACACAACAAGCTGAATAGAGGGTGGAAGTCTTAGTGCTCCAGTTCTGTTTATCTAAACTCAAATTTATTTTTATGACCTATTTAGGAAGAAATAAGCATTCTTCTTACATGACAGGAAAAATTGGTTCCTAAAAGGTTTCCAATCTACTGAGTATGCAAGACAACAAGGTCTCATTTGAATATCTGTTGGAACAGTTCGTTGGAGCCAGTGATGAAAAAAATAGTTTTAACTTGGTGAAATTTAGTAATTGAGAATTAAATGAGGTGCACCAACATAAAGTGAAGACCAAGTTATTAAAACTGTACTTTAAATCTTTCTACTTCTACTTTAGCAATATAATGTTTGAAGCAAAAGTGGAAGTCCATTTATGTAGCTGGAATAAGCTGAGAGTGCATGATCTGATGATTTTGGATTTTTTTTTTTTTTTTTATATTCTTGATAGGAAGCAATTTTTTTCAGTAGCAAGCTTCCTTCTAAACTTAACACAGTGCTGATTTAAGCATTTGAAGTGAGACAGTGGAGAAACTAATACTACTTAGCAGTTCAGCACTGCCCTGCATCTTGACAACTCTTGCTGGTACATGCATAGCTGGTTGCACAGTGCTTTTCTCTCTAATCTATGTCTTGCTTTCCTCTGTTAAGTTCTCTGTGGCTGATATTGGTGTCATCCTCAAGAAGCTGAAAGATATAACTGAACTTCGCTCCCGAGAAATCAGACAGGTGTTTGCAGCCACTGACCCTGAGCATACCAAGGTGATCAAGTATGAGCCTTTCAGGTAAGACGGTAGATTTTGTTTTTTAGTATTTAACAAAGGCACGTTCCCAAAAATGTACAGAGCATGACTGTTTTGTGATGCTTTCTGCAAATGTTAACTGGCAAATGGCATTTGTCTTGCATTTACTTGGAGACTATGTGTGAGAAAGAAGGTGAATCTGTGCCCCAGAAAAAAAGAAAAATGTGATAGTTTCAAGTAAGCTCTAAAGCACAACTCAGATCTGCCTACTTTTTATAGAGCTGTCACAGGGTGTTGTGAAGAAGGACATGTCAGCAGCAATATATACAGTGAAAGATAATGAAAAATCCATCCTGAGAGTCAAACAAATTAATTAGTAGTTTTGAAATTCAAGAAGGAATGTTTGAGTTGCCTCCTGAAAATGGTGCTTTTTGGGTTTTGAATCATTAATATAGAAGAAAGTCTTCACAGAACAAAGGTGTGTTGAAATTATAGAACGCAGTGGTAAGCAACTTTAAAAAAAGACTGGAAGGCAGTAGGGAGAGCACTAATTAATGCTTGGATACTAATTTCAGCACAGATAGGGAGAACAGAAATCTGGATTCTGGCAATGATCCAGATAAGGCAATGGGTAAATGTATAGATACTTGACAGAGGAAATCATGCTGAAATGCAGGCTGATTTCAGTTTATCCCACAGCTAGAATACTTGAACATATGAACTGTGTTGGGTACTGGTAAAATTAATGATGTGGAACAGAGGAGGAGATTTTACCTAGAAGCATTTAGTTTTCATATGACTACATATTTAGCAACTGTCATAATAACTAAAGCATATAAGTAGATGTATATTGCGTGGAATGTCATCCCTATAGGAATGTTAACCAAGGCAGAAATTGCTTCTGAAATATCTCAGAAGAGATATAGACCGCTGGTAGGTTCTTCCAGCAATTCAAATTGGAAGTAGTGAGATACGAAAACAAGCTGATACTCAGAAATGAAAAATAAGTGATTAAAAGGTAGGATTTAAACTAAGAGAGGCCACAGTTATTGGCAACTTTTGGTCAAATATTTCTAGACTCAGATATTTTACTCAACAAAAGCAAGATTTTGAGTTGTTAATTGCATTAAGAGGGAAAATGTTATTGCTAGGGGAAGAAGGGGAGAAAATTGAGTTAGCATATATGTGGAGAAACATTATAGCACTTGGAAGAGGGGTTTACTTTATATACACAATAACTTAAAAATCAAATAATTATGGTTTTAATTCAAATTATGAAATAATCATGTGCACAACTTTTTCTTACATGCACTAAGAGCAGGTCAAAGTTTTAGAATATTTTCATAATGAAATTGGTGGAGCACTCTTTTAGAAGGGATGATTGTGATTTCAAACAGCAGGGAAAGATTTTTATTTTATCAAGAAGAGGCTCAGTTGAGTGTTAAATTTAGTCATGGTCATATTCTGTGCAGTTGTGAACAGCCCACCTGTTTAATCTAGGGTAGTGCTGTTCTGTGGGGTGGAGTAAGACATGTCTGGTTATATGGTATTGAGGCACTTGATTTCAGCACGAAAAATGAAGTAGTCCTTTCCATGAGCAAGAGAGGAAGCAGGGGAACCCATGAAAGAAATGTTTTCTTGGCCTCAGTGCTCACCTGGGCCAGTCTTGAGCACGTGCTAACGGTCTACAATCCCTCCTGTGGTAGGACCGACTGAGGTCTAACAGGAAGTATTCTCTCTACCAGAGGAAGAATTTGCCTTGAAGGAATATTTAACTTTTATAGTGATTGTAGATTTTGGTTTTGTTCATTCATATTATATTCAGTAATTTAAAGGCTTTCTTCTAATTATTATCCATGTATCTTGTTTTAGAACAAAACATTTTTAATGACAAAGACGAGAGCACTTCTTTGCATCTATGAGAACTCTTAAGATATTTTTCTGTGAATAGAATATGTATTTTTCTTTCAGTTTTGTATTTTCTTGTTTACATCACTGTTTATTTTTATTCTGTCATGGCATTTAATGATTATAACTGACTACAAATGATTATTTTTAGTACAGGCAATTATCTGTGTGACAGCCTCAACCAGCATGATAATCCTCTTATCTTAAACACAGCTAAAGCTTTACTGTGCTCTAGATTTGGCTGTTCAGATTTCTTCCTTTCTACCTGTGTAAATTGATATGAACTGCATTTAAAAATGCACCTACAAGTATGATGTAGTGAAGCAGAATTGTAATTATACAATTTACTTTTACTACTTTCAGAACCCAAATCTACAGCATATCATCCAGGAAATAAATACATGGCGTACACTGAAGCTATGCCATAAGTTACTGTTAAAAACACTGAAAGCTTTGTTAAAAACAGAAGAAAAAAATAACTAAAACTTAGATGCCAGTGCATCTCATGGTCCTATATAGACTGCTTTTTCTCATAAGCTACTGGCAAGACTTTTCCCTGTTAGAGACAAAGAACCGTGTGGGTTTAACAAAGATGCTTATCTTCAATTCAGCTTCAGAAACAGCTCTCTTAAACAGTTAATTATTATTTCTTCTTTCTCTACCAAATTCAGATTGCAATCTGTTTTATTCTTCTAGAACAAAAAAAACCCAAGTAAAACAAAAGATAACTAAACTGTGGGAACAATTGTTGCAGCTTGTTTCTTTTTGTCAGGAAGAGTTTAGATGTAATTCAGTTTGCAAATCTTGGGTCTCACTCATTAGGCCCTAACAGTCACTAAAATATTCCTTAATTCCCAAACGAGACAATTATTTTATCTGGCGGTTTTGGCAACTTGCTTGTCACTGACTGGCTTGAGAAAATAAAAGACCTTTAAAATCCTGACACTGGAAAAATCTGTGCCATGTATGGAAATCCAGACTGTGGAAATATTCAGATGGGTGATGTTATCTACATGCTTTCAGCTTCACCAGCCCAAGCATTCAGGGTGCCAGGCTTATCAGGCAGTATTGTCCTCTTCTTTGTGTTTGCAGTAGTATTACTGCAGGCTCCAGGAAAGAGGCTCCAGTTTCAACTGGATCTCTGAATGTTGCTACAATATAAATAGTAATATTCGGTAAGTGGGATAATAATACTGACAAAATAATGATAATAGATGAACCAAGTTTGGTCATTGAATTTGCATAATCTCAAATAAGGTTTGCTACTGTCAACACCTTGGCTTCTCCTTATATTTATCTCTTGCCACTGTAAATAAAGGATCTTTTAGGTTTGTTTAATATGAAGAAAGCCATAATTGAATCAAAGTAGACACTGTACAGTGTTTAGCATCCTTTTTTGAATAGCTGTGTAAGTGCAATCATATTCTGTGAAGAGATATCTTCATTTGAACAGGCCCACGCAAGCCTCTGAGACAAAGCAAGTGAAAAATTGTGTTTGTTGATAAAATTTTGCAGTTTGGAAGGATACTACATTTCTGTGCTTTTAGTTCACATGTGAATGTTAAGAGACCCATTATCAGATTGATTCAAGAATTTAACTGTTCTTCAGCCAGCAGTTTGAGCCTTGTGTCAGAACTTTGTACATCACTAATAATTTCTTCCATTTGTTTTCAATCACAATTATGCTGTTTATCCTTAGTGCAGTTTATCCAGAAATATTATATATAATTAATCTAATTTTGACTGAGGCACATAAACCTATGTAGATGCTTGCTATTAAAAAGAAGTCCTGTCGAACATGAGTTCACCAGAGGCAGACATCTGAGATCATAACGCCAATGTAGGTGCTCTAAGCCGGGTTTGACAAGAGGCCTTGTAACAGCTGAGGTAACCTACAGTTCAGGCCAGTTTTTTCCCGGAGAGCAGGAAGCCTCTTAGGTTTCCTTGCATACCTCACTGCTGGTATTTTTCTTCCCTTATGTTGTGTCAATACCCAGGACATAGAAAGAACTCTGTAATCATTGAAGACAACAAACCCCCTACTGCAAAGACAATGTAGTCTTTCAAATCCTCCACCAATATTATAAATCAGAAGAATCTTCTGAACTGTAATTACTAGTCCAGATTCTTAAGCTTCAAAGCTTGTGTCCATTTGCTGATGTGCCTTCAGGGTTTACCCAGAGCTCACTCCAGTTCTATTATCATCAACAAATTATTGACATAACAGGAATGACTAGTCATTCAGTCCCAGCACTGGCCCATTGAGTGGATCTCAGGAACATTTCTCTTCCTTGGATTAGACTGATATGTCAGAGCAGCACAAGCAGTCTTGGGAGAGCACATCTCAGGCTCTTCCCTGCATGGGACCTGATTCTCCACTGACAGTGTCCAAGCATAAACTTGTCTTGCTTTTGCATTCTGTCTTCTATTCTTGCCAGGAGGACTTGTGATTTCAAGTTGGGTATAATTTTCTGCTCTCTCTCTGACCAATTTCTATTTCCCTTCTCTCAGCTTTCCTCTGAAAGCTACCATCACGGCCAGCTTTCACAATGCTTTGTGAAGTGTGGTTTGATGTTTGATTAATATTCTGTTCTCTGTTGGGATCTTCTGCCCCACTTCTCCTCTGCCTTTGTTAATTCTCTCTCTCTGTGTTATGCAACTGTTGTGCATGCTCTCTGTTTACAGATAATTAATCATGGTGCTGCAGAATGCAAAATATGATTAGGAACAAAACAGGGTAATACCTCGTTAATTCATTATCTTGTTGGACAAATGCAATGACAACATTAATCTCTGCTAATATTCCATGCCAGTATGGCATCCTGGGTAAAAGACTTAAGTCATTATTATTATGTATTTTTGTATATATAGCTGACTACTGAGGAAAGTGGGCATCCTGCAAAAGTTTCAGAGTTCAGGTAATATCCATTGTACCTCCCTGAATAGACATGAATTTGAAAATTTAAGTAGATACAGTCTTTAAAGATCTAAATACATAATTTTATGATGAGTGCCTTTTAATCCTTTTTTCCCCCCTGGAATTTAGGATTATTAACTGTTTTTAAATCCTTTGCTTAAAACTAATGTAGACTGTTGTTTTTGTGAACAGAGATTTGATAGTCAGTATCACTGATGGAGTGTTTTCAGAACATGAAATTAGGACTCTTGCACGCTATTACAGCGTGAGAGAGAAATATGAAATGGACCTCCACTGCCTCCTTGCAATGGCTCAAGAACAACTGAAGAAAAATAACTTTGAGAATTTTGAACAACTGTCTGCAGTGCTTATATACAATGACCATGAAAAGTAAGTTTGCTCTATTTATCTTAAACTGTTATTTGGGAAGCTCTGCTTGTAAACCTACCTACTTTTCTGTTTGTTGCTGTGCAAATGATATTGTGGCCAAAGAATATTATCTGTAATTTTAAGCTTATGTTAGCACTTCACAGTAGACAAGAAAAGGATAGCCTTTTCGTCTCTTTTTCATTTTGTTTCATTTTGTTTGTGGACTGTTTATTATAGCTGCTCAACTGAACATTCTGTGACATAATCAGATGCACGTTCACAGGCGAAACACACTATTTTAAATTAAAGAGGAAAAATAATGATTTAAGGGGAAAAAAGAAAGGAGTTGTAGCTAATTCTTTATATGACTCATTTGCCCTTTTTGTTCTCTGAGGTCACAGATAAAGAATCACAGATAATCACTAAGGACCTCAGCATGGGGGAGACAGGCCACAATGTGTACTTCAAGTTTCTTGGCTTTGTAATAGTGAAATTTCATAAAACCTTGTTTTCTTTACCTCTACCTATCTACCCTGATATTCCTTACATGTTTTCCCATTCACAGCAGCACTCACTTGAAGTAAATGTGGAAAATACCTAATGTACACTCCTCCCCGTCTCTTTCTGTTTGTATAGATGTGGAGTGCTGCCCCATGAGAGGTGCAGGACTATTTGCAAGTCCTTTAAGTTGCCACTGGCTGGTGATGATCTGCAAGCTTTACTGACCATGTAAGTTAGGGGCAATTAACCTGCATGCATGGGCACAAATCAATGCTAAATATCTACTGCAGACACAGTTCTTAAGAATGTGTCATTCATGTAGTATTAATTGTTTCATGGTGCTGATTTTCTCCCTATACACATGCATATTTTGCTGTTTATAGAATATCAATAATCAGCTGAGGTGCATCCATCTTAGCAACGTCTCTTCATTTTGTCTGGCACAGAAGATCATCTGGTTTTGCCAGAATTCTATAGAATTAGTCTTATGGGAATCAGCTACTGATAATTATCAATGAGTTTAACTTTTTTCACATTAGTTATTCCAGTGTATGTGTAAGGTAAAAACAATAATCTTATGAAAGCACATTATGTGAGTTTTAAAAAACATACCAGGATGAATACAATGAAATGTCCTTCAATCAAGTAGACGGCATCAGTAATGAATATAAGATGTTTGCTACTCCTATTACTCTCACCCAACATATATCTCATTGCAATTTTTAAAGACAAAAAGGAGTGTTGGCATGGTTTGGTCTTTTTCCATAGCACATTTAATTTTTTTTGAGACAAATTGCTTGGCTAGCTGTATTAATGGGAATAGAAGTGAAAAGAACTAGTATTCAGTGCACTTGTGTAAAAGCCTGATGTTCAGAGTAACTTGTGGTGTTTTGAACACTCATGTTGAATTTGGTTTTCATGGCCAAATTTTCTGGTAATAGGTTTAAATGCCTGCTCATTGGTCTCTTCTTTCCCTTGTGGAACATCCTTAAATGTTTTGTCTGTACCTTTATACTGTGTTAAAAGCAGGAGCGGGTCTTGTCTTCTGTCATGTTTAGGTGCTTTCAGGTAGATACGCTTTTTGATTTCAGGAGGAATTGCAAACTAAGCATCTGGATTTATTAAATAATGAAAAGACTCGTCAGGCAGAAATGTGGAATCCATTTTAATAAAAAATCTTCATACTGCAAACAAAACTTCCTACTTAACTCAGTATCAACAAGACTGTTTTAAGAAGCCTAAAGGGCTATTTTTCACAAAGCTCCTGTTTCCAGACCAAAAACTTTCAGAATAGTTCCCTGCAGTAGCCAAAAAGATTACTTTGGCAGTTTGTTTGCCATTTATCACATCTGACAGTTAGGGTACAACTATTAGTCATCAGAATCATGTCTGAATTTTAGCATTAATCTAAAACTCATTTTTTAGAACTCCCACTAAGCTGCCCAATACAAAAAGCGTTGGAGGACAATTGACATCCTGAACTAGACAAGGGGTTCTCATAGTTTCCTCTTCATAAGGGCTGAAATTGAATAGATGCACAAATGAGGGACTAGAGGTTTTCCTTTATATACTAACACAATGCTGATGAAAAACAGGCAAGCCTGACACATCATAGGCTCTAGAAATGTGTTTATTGTTTATGAATTTATACCAGGGAAAGCTTTTGTGAGATGAACCTCTTCTCTCCTGAAGAGTATCAGTGCAGGCGGTTAAAAAGAAAAAAAACCAGTACATTGTGATAAAAATTGCAGATAAACTTAGAAGACAAGGAAGAGACTAAGCTGGATTTCACCCAGGTTTAGCCAGGTACCCGACAGCTGAATTAGGACGCTCTAGGTTCTTTCTGTATGCAATGGAGAAGGAGAGAGTTATCTCAGCCTATATAAGAGCCGGATTTCTAAATTACCATCCATTTTCCTTTGTTTCTAAAGGGGCTGTGACCAACCTGTGTTGCAGATTTCTGTATGAGAAAGGTACATGGTGTGGGGCTGGGCCTCAGAAATTAGTGTGAGAAGTACTTCATATGATAGAGTGCTATGTGTAATGCTGGTTCTAAGTTACAATATCATATGCTTCGAAAGATGGCAGTTTATGTGATGAGTCACTGCACTGCAGTGTGCAGTTTGCACTGCTTGGTAAATTTATTGTTTCATGAGGGGGCAGAGTCGGGGAAAGATTTTTTTTTTTTCAATGTATATTTAATAGGAGTTAGTTTCCAGTAATCCAGAAATCGAAGAGTAGAGTTGGCTGAATGACTTTTAAACTTTTCCTTTCCTCTTGCTTCCTGTAGTTTTCTTTGACTGAAGAATCATGAACAGTCTCACTCTGGGAGAGTATGCAATTCTGTGTGGGCAAAGTTTGTCAACAGAATTCATTCTTTTTTTTTTTGTTGGTTTTTTTTTTGAATGAGGAAGCATGTAGTTTTGTGTCCATTGATGTTTCTGAAGCAAGTGATGGTGGTGTTCCTACTGCATGTATCTGTATTTATGAAGGAAGAAAGTGGTACAATAAAAGTTGTTGGATTGATTCCCACAAAATCAGTATATATTGTTAATGCACTAGCTGGACCCTATTCAGCTATAAAGTGATGCTAGACAATGTGATCAGATAATAGTTGAAGACTGGAGCTATGTGTTTATTCAGATTTGCTATCTGAGATTAGGTGGCAAAGACTTTCTGTAGGGCTTAATGGTTGTATTTTTCTGTTTTGAAAGGTAATATTCTTAAAGTATTTATTATTTACATTTATAAATTATGCTGTGATGTTCTGTCACTTATTAAAAGCTTAGGATGGGGCTAGAAATTACTGTCTAATTTTGTGGTCACCTCCCGATTACCCAAGATGTTGTTTATTGTACCCAAAGACCATTCAGTTTCCCCAGAGTGCAGGGAGAATTAGCACGAAGACTGAGGTTTCATAAGACTCTTTCATATTGTCTGTCTAGGGTAAATTTTTATTTTTAATTGTGGGATGGTGAAATAGGAGGATTTAGGTACCCAACAATGTGTCCATTTTTCCAATTCACCTGAGCTGGTTTATTAAAAAGTATTTCCTTTCTCCATCAGCATTTTCTCAATTTTTTAATCACAGGGCAGTACAGACTTCTAATCACAATGTATTAAGCAATGCAGATGGTACACAATTGTTCCTGCCAGAAAACTACAGTAGTAATTATAAACATTTCTTTAAATTTATGCAGGCATAATGAACAATTATAGTTTGTTTAATAAATAAATGTTACTGAAGTGCTTAAGTAATGAATTTAAGGTTTTTTTTTTCTGTTGTATTTATTTACAACAATGCTAAATGTATGCTAACGAGGACTTTAAAAGATGCAGTCCTTCCTCAGAGGATATCTAAACAGCTAGCAGATAAGGAAAGAAAAAATGGAGGGAAGAAGGAATGGATGACAAGTTTACAAGTATTACACGTTGATTGTTCTGGATTAGTTTAGTTGTTAAGTGTAGGTCTCTATTTTTAAAAATATGTCTTTTAATTTCTCTTAAAAATGGCTGTGTAGTTCTTCACCTCTCCACAGTGTGAGACTATAGGATTCTGGAGGGGGCTCGTTTTTTTGAGAAAGTTAATGCCTAGTGTCTCAGTTAGCAGTGTCTGATAACAGTGGGCCTCCTACATGATCATCCCGGTTGTCAAGTCACTAATAGGCTAGGCCAGGCCACTACTGCCTGCTCAGCTTTTCCCTGGTTTGTGGCTGGGTAATAATTTTTTACCTAGTTGTCTACCTGTAAGGTTATTTTAGGGCTGACGTATTTATTTCAGGAACTAAAACCTCTTTTCCTGCTACAGAAAAGCAAGGAGTCCTGGTAGCAGGAGCAGGACGGGAAATGGTCACAAAATCGTTCTCCTGCACTCTGTCTTCTGCTCATTAATTTTGATGCCTGAGACTCCCTATGCCATTTGTGATGAAAGGAGTCTTTAGCATTAATATTTGGATCTCTTAAAAGAAATTATTTCTGTTATTCAGTATGCTGAGTAACTGATAGTTCAATTTATAGTTCTTCAAGACATGAGTAAATTTGTACACAAGATGGTAGCCATTACTTAATTCGTGCTGGTCAGCTGCATAGGCTTGTTTGTTCTTGCAGTTTTCAATCTTTTCATATTATTTGTTTATGACAATTTAGGTATATACCTGTGTTACACTGAGACTATCAAATGGGCTGAAGAATCGCAATATTTTCTCTAAGGTTAAAGCAGCATGATGCTTCTCCTCTGTTATTATCAGATTAACTTCTTAATAAATGTTATGCAAAACTAAGGAATTAAACTCTGCATGTACATTAACATTTCACACGAATGTTTGGGTTACAGATTTCTTGATGGGAAAGAAAAAATATTTGTAAGTAGCCTTTACTCATCCTCTGGAATGGTCATAATGTGATTTATCCAGATTTTTCTTGTATCTGAAGTAATTCATTATGAATATATTTTTAGAAGCAGAAATGTGTGATTATTTCTGTAATGTCAAAGAAAAAAAAAAAGCTCTGCAAACTGAGAGGGATGGGGGAGTGATGTTCATAGTCTAAAATCACATTCATTGGTGAAGTCATAGGGCAAAACTGAAGAGAAGCATGGTATGAAGAGATCTTTGTTGCATCTTGATAAAACAAACCTAATTTCCTTTCCTGAAGAGCACTGTCAGTTTCAGCCATATTAACTCCAGCCACTGAAATGTATACATCTCGGTCCTAATAACGCACAAATTGATAACATCTTCTCAGTCCATCTGGATACTCTCTGCCAAATTGCAAGTGTGTGCTTTTAGTAGATTGATATGATAAGTCACAACAGGGAAGAGATCTAAAGAGTAGACTTTTTGTTTTTTCTTTCTGGATTATTCCAAAGTAATATTTTAAGTTGCTTTTTGTAGCCATTTAAATATGGAATTTAAGAATCCCATTTCCTCTGCCCATGTTAAAATCTTTGGTTAGAGTTAACTTCATGCCCATGTTGTTATCTGTTTGCTAGTGCTGTCACATCAAAGAACTTTTCTCCTTGTTAATGTTTGTTGAAAGCAGAAGCAATGCTTTCCTTGAATTCATTGCCTCAACATAAAGTTTAAGTAGTTACATGCCTTCACTTGTTCTTTATTTAAAAATGCTGCTTATACAGCTCTGCATCTTGGCAGTAGACAATCTTTTGACTTTTCACAATGAGCAAAAGATAAATACATATATAGTAAAAGAAAAAAATTGTCATGATAGTTTTGAAATTCAAAATCTCTGTACCATATTTTTTTCCAAGAGGTAAGGGGTTTTTTATTGTCCTGTTATTTCTAAGACAAAGCTTTCTTTTCTCAATTGCCATCTGCAAAAAAACCTGAAGCAAACAAGAACCCTGTAGAAGTGAGAATGATAATTTTCTTGTGTATTGAATATATTCCCCAAAAGTAAGGCTTTATGAAAATGTTAGCTTGCATGTGAGCTATTATAAAGAATCAAGCTAGCATAGGAGGGTTTCTCAGGGCAATGTTTCAGGCTCCTCTTTAATACTAGTAACAGTAGCATTCTTTTCTGACTTGCTTTCATCTTCAACATAATTCAATGTACTTAACATTCCAGTTTATAGCTAGCATCTCTGTTTATGGCTTTCAGTATATTGTTTTATTATCTCTCCTGCTGACTATTAAATGAAAGGTGTGGGGGGAGGAGAAGGAGAGGATGAGTTGTGGTTTATTGCAGTTTATTTTTGTCACTGGATTTATTTCTTTGCTTCTCCAATGTTGTTTTCCCAGTTTGTGCTGTAAATTCTCCCTTAAAGTACCTTCATGCTTAATTTTTACCTTCTGCAGTGGTTGAACGGTTTTGAGGCTAATGTTTTGTGTGGTGGTATTTCTTTAAGAACAAGATAAAATGATTTTCTAAAATACTTGTTTCCTAGAGATGATCTTGCTCCTGTGCAGTAGTTATTTGTTTAGGTTACAGATTACAGGACGGAATTGTTGAACATGGTGTTTCCCACCAAGCACTAGGTATTGAGTCTCGCTAGTTATATGTCTCTCCATGGAGTGAGGCACAGACACTTCCAGGGTGTGCTTATCTGCCTAAACCAGGTCCCTCTTATATGTAGGTAGTGTTAGGTGAGGCAGATGTCATTCACAAAAGCTGCTAGTATTTATAGCGGAGTAGTTAAGCTGTTCATTTCAAGAATGATATGCATGGTAGCTTCGGCCTGAAGATATCTTTTAAGCATTTGACTAGTTCCACTGAAATAACAGTGGTTCCCAAGTGCCTTAATCACCTAAGTGTTTTGCTGAATTGTAGATTTTTTTTCTGAAGTTGCTTCATCCACATCAATGGCAGAAAGATGATGTGGCTTACAGATTTGCTCCCATGGGGTTTATTAGTGCAGGGTAATGATTTTAGAAATTTAAGCGAGGCAGATAGTGTGTTCCACATGTATCTGTAGAATTTAGCTGGCAGCATATATATCTTCAAGCATTTAGGTACTGAACAAATATATATATTTATTCCATAGAAATAAAGAACAATGACATAAACCAACTACCAAATGACAAGACTTGTGACTCCTAAATCTGGCTATTATTTGATAGGTTAGAGAGCTGTGTGTTGGCAATTGTAAATTGATCCCAAGATGTGTCCAAACAGCATTTTTGAAGGATTGCTTATTTTCAGGAAATGATTGTAGAAGCCATATAAAGCAGGTCAGTTGTGTTATAGCACAGCTCTCTCGTATCATTCTACCTGTTTCTTTTCTACACAAAGGAATCACACACTGATCATCCCAACTGTTTGTCACCAGTTATGAGATCCCAGTGTTGTAAAAGGTTGAGCAATGCTTCAAAAGTAAAATGATATTAGTTGAAATGCAATAAACCTGTAAGAATATGGACTAGAATGTATGATATAGATGTCCTGACAGTTTGGTAGTGTTTTTCTGTACTCTTGACAGTGATTGCCAGTAAAGGAGTAAAAAATTATTATCCAGAAGATAATGTTTTAGTATGCTGTAGATAGCATGATACAACTTTGTTGAAAATTTCCTTTAAGTCATCTTATGGATATTTTGTTCAGGTTTGAAGATGACCGTAAGCAAGTGGAATATAAAAAGCTTGTGGATGGGCTGAACTGGAGAAAGAATCAAATTCCTGCTTTCCAGATGATAAAGAATCCTCTCAAGGTAAAAATCAGTGTATCTGAGCAAAGGAACAGTAGAGTACTTTGATATAATTTGTCCAACTTTAACATGAATGCTTTGTCCAATAGAGACTACAACAGTTTTCATATTTGTGTATTTGTGCCTGTTTTCTTCAAGTCATTATTTTTTTCTGGGAGTTTTAGAATAAAGCAGAGAAGTCAAACAGGGATGAGGAGGCCTTTAACACCCCCATGCCTAATAGGTGTCATATCTCTGTGACAGTTTTCTAGAATAAAAAAAAAAAAAAAAAAAAAAAAAAAAAAAAAAGAGAAGGGGAAGCAGGTGTATTTGTCCATGAACAATGGGCGTGAATACCGCTTCACCCACAAATATCGTTGTCACATGTCAAACGATCTGTTAGCTTGCTGAGATGGTCAGGAAATACTTTAAACTCCACTGACGCTGCAGAAAATAGCTATGTATTTTTTATAACTCCATAGAAACTTGTACATAATACACTACATCACTGGTAGGCGTACAGCAAGAACAGTATTGATAGATCAACTTTGTATATCTCCACCAGCCTGCTACTTGGGGTAAATAAAAGTGTGGTATCAACAAACTGCAGAGATTAATCTGATCTTGCCATGTTGTGCTGAATGGAACATTTTAAAATAGATGGTGCATAAGGCAATTATGCTGATTTTTTAAAACTTTGTAACAGATAAATCTGAAGCCCTTCTGCCAACACGTAGTTTTGCTGATCTGGCCTAGCCAGTGTGTTACCATGCTTGTACAGAATGTGTTTGATTGTATCCAGACCATTTAGAAACATATCTTTCCTTTAAATTCAAGTTCAGTGGTGACATAGTTTAAACCAATATTCCTCAATTACTGTGCTATTAACCTGACTCCTCTCTTACTTGGCTTACCAGCTCTTTCTTCTGCAGCATCTCAAACTGTCACTGGCATCTAAGAGGGCCCAGTGTTGCTGGTTTGCTCTGCTTTCCATGGTGGTTTATTTTTTCACATTGTCATTGAGAAGATTTTTTTTCATCTTGATAACATCAAAGCCCTTCCACATGTTTTATACAGCTGTCCTGTGGTCCGAAGTGTGCATTAGGTTTTGTTCAGTGGATATTCTTTGTTTTTACAGAAGAATTCTGTGCTTAAGTTATAACTCAATATTTAAGCAGTGATGGTCACAGGAGATTGTGTCAGCATAAAGGGCCTCCTAAGGCCCAGTACTACAGAAACAAAAAGGTCAGAGCCTGCGCCTGGAGGATTTTTGCCTTGAAGATGTTGCTAAGCTTAGTGCCAAATAGCAAGAGTGAAAGAAGTGGAGGCAAAGATACACTTGGTGTTGAATGTGTTTGACCTTTTTTTTCCCCTCACAGGATAGCTTATCTAGCCATTGAGGATGACCTGATTTTGGGCAGGTGAGGAAAGGAGATGGCTCCTATGAGGTGAAGGTGGAGTGCAAGTGGTGGTGGAGCCAAGTTGCAGGCATGAAGGAAAAGGTGCTTGTTAAACAAGCAGGAGGTTAAAGTGGACATTTGTTGTGAAATGTATGTTCAGCATAAGAGATGAGGTTTTGTTTGGGTATGAAGAAGACCTTATCTTTGCTTGGAGGACAGCCAGTGGATGGGCTTTCCAGGAGTGGTTGATGCCTAAGAGTCCCAATTGGGAATGGTACATGGAGTTATGGGGGGAAGGTTACAGCTGGAATCAAAAAGGAAGAAAGAACATCAATAGAAATTATTATCAGTCATCATCATGCTGCAATAATCAGTTCCTCATCGGCTCCAAAGCTTTGCTGTACCTGTCATACTGACATATAGCACTGTTTTCAATGAACTGCACCTAAATTGGTGCCAGTATAGTTTACTAAGTTTTATTGACACTATTATTTTGTTAGTTAGCTGCAATATCTAGGCTATCTTTGGTACAATAAAAGAATATGTTAATGAAGAGATCAATACAAAATGGAAAAAAAATCAGAGAAAAGAAGGGATTTAAATCTTGTTCAATTTAGGAATCTAATTGTCATTCTGTTCATGACTTACCATGAATTAACAGCAATATTTTGGGGCTACAGTACCTCTATTTGACAGATAGATTTTAGCAACAGAGTTGTGCTTGTTTAGCTGACTTTTTTCTTCCTTCTATCTCATTGTTTTGTATGATTTTTGGTGTTGAGACATAGATGACTTGCAAGACTTTCAAGTATAAGCGTCTTGATGAAGAAAATATAGCATCATTTAATTCGAAAATATCTGCAAAAGGGCTAATGATAGAAAATATTTTAAATAAAATATTCTTCAAGATTGATTAAAATGTGCATGTAATCTTTTAAGAGGATGTGATGTATAAAGGTCCACCTTTTTACAGATTTGTATGTGGAAATGAAGCAGCTCATTGTATCTTACGTTGACCAGCTTTTAATTATTCTTCTTTTCGATATTATATTCTAAGACATTCTCTGGGTTACTAATTTCAGACTGAAGATGACTGGAGAGGACAACCACCATCCTTTGCTGTGAAAGGGATCAAATACTTACCTCTTCTGGATGATCTGTTTGGCAAGGAAGAATAATCTGATCTCTGCAAGGCACTGCTTTTAGATTACTGTTTCAGCGCCAAGGCTTACTTAGACAGATACTGAAAACATTCCTTGTAAAACAAACAAACAAACAAAGATACAGGTTTTATTGCCTTTAATTTCTTATTCCAACACAGATGTATACTTTGTGTGTTTTTCTAACTCCTTCTAATCAACAGTACTCTTTCATACTTATACAAGATTAATTAAAGATGTATCCTCTAATCTTTGTGTCTGGTTATATGGAGAGGTTACAAATATTGAGAAATCTTTGAGTCAAATAGAGCAAAAGCTGACTGATACTGCTTTGTTCTGCAAACAAAGGTTGTTGGATGACCTCTTAAAATACTAGATTGGACTATATTCGCACAATAAGGTAATTCCATTCAAATTTCTTCTCTTGCTCTTTAGCTTATATCTGGTTTTGCTCTATCTCTGTGGTGATGTTTAAATACTGTTTGTGTCAAAGTTTCTTATTTTATGGAGGAAATGCTAGCAAGGTTTTAGCACAATATACAGTTGTTCTGGTATCAGAGATAATGATAGCCTCTCAATGTAGAAGTAAGTATTTTGAAGACACATTATGGAAGCAATGAGTTCTTGCTTTTTGTTTTAAAAGTGACTCAGATTAGTAGCCACCCAAGTTTACTTGTGTGAGACATGTATGAAGAGAAGGTATTTCAGAACAGTTCTAGCGTGCAGCTTTCTTGCAGTAGTGCTGTACTTGCCCTTTGAAAATTAATTGATGCCTTTCTCTTTGCTCAAAATTGCGATGACTGAATGGAGTTCCTGTTAGCATTTTTGTATCTTTTTATGCCTGCTCAAAGCCATGATTGGATCTGAATTTACTGCAGGGTTTTTTGAGAGAAGTAATTACCCCAGTTTAAACAATGGAAGACCCGAGGTGAAGCAGTGAAGCAGGGAGCTGATTCATCCACAGCAATTCCAGAGGGTAAGGGGAAGAGGTGTGAGCCAGCACACCTCTGCTGGTGGCTGGGAAACTCACACATTCATTAGGCTGAGAACCCTGTGCTTTCTGTAATCTGAAATGACAATTTGGGGAGGAAATGATTAATTTAGAAGGATGAGAATTCAACATATTTAAATCCTCAGACTGAGGAAAGACAATCGTTCAAAGAATATCTTAATTCAGTAGATCTTTTTTTTTTTTTTTAACTTGGAGATCCCTTTTAGAATTATTACTCCATTTAGAAGTAACTTGCTGGACTTTTGCATGATAGTGTAAATGAAATTTTTAATTGTATATCTTCTTTCTAGCCCCCCCAGCTAATGAGAAGAAATTCTTTTCACTCCATATGGCAAAATATGAAGCTTTTGGCAGCTTTTTATCTTTTTTTGTCAGAAAAAAAAGGGCTGGAGGCAAGGCATAATTATGTGTGTTGCAGCTACTTAGGAAGGTGTTTGCAATAAAATGGGTAAGTGATGGTCTGTGTCCAGGGGGTCAAAAATAAAACGGAAAACTTGTTAAAGTGCTCCAAGTTGTAGACAAGACCTTGTACTGCTTTTTGATCTAAAAGAGGAAAATTGTTTCTTACATGACAAGAAGAATATGTGGCCGGGGGACAGCGTCAGGAGCCAAACCAACAGTATTAAGTTGCATTTGATGCCAATTTGCTGAAGGTGAAGATTTTAAAAACATGCCACCAAGGTTGAGCTTGACACTTTAAATGAATACAGTTGCCCTTGTAAATTTTCAGTGTTCCCCAGACTTCAGAAGCATATGTTTGTTGTGGAAATCTTGTACAGCTAAGGGTTTCCAAGAAAGCTTGACTCTGAACATTTAGAACTTCCCAAGTAGCTTTTAGAGATGGGAAATTCACTTCAATTTGTTTCCCTTTATGTGTATAGGACAAAGAGGAGCCTCTTTTCAGAAAAAAAAAAAGTGCAAAAAATATAATTTCTTATACTTTCATGTGGAACCCTGTGTATAGGTCTGGTAAATCATGGTCTGGTCATGGTCAAGAAAGGTGCCTGCAAACTGGAACCATTGCAGAGAAGAACTAGAAAGGTGACCAAGAGAATGGAGATAAGAAAGGAGAATAAAGGAGCTTAGCTTATTTGGTGAAATATAATGAAGTCTCAGAGATAATATGCCTGCTGTCTGTAAATACATTATGGCCTGGTGAGGAAAAGAACTTTGGTAGTCTAAGAACAAATGGGTACAATTTTCCACAAATAAATTTAAACTGGACAACAAAAGGTGGTTTCACACTTCTAAAACAATGAGGGTCTCAAACAGCCTTCCAAGACTGAAGTATCAGTTAGTTTAAGGGTTGAGGTGGGTCGTCTGATGACAGTCATTTTAAGATGTTTATTAATACCCTGCTGAATTATTATTCTCACTTCTCTTTTTCCTCTTTTCCCATGCATCTTGCATAACCCTGATGAGCACAAAAGGATCTCCTAGGAGCAGGGTAGACAGGGCCTGAAAAAAATTTTCAGTGCTTGTCACTGTATTCGCAGTGTGTCATATGCTGTGGCCTGATGTGTTATAAACACTTTTCACCAGGTTTTCTTTTTTACAAGCAGCAGTGTTTCTAGAAGGGAAAGCCCTAGCCAATGAGCAGTCCAATAATACTCTTTGTATAATGTGACTTACAGCATATGCTGCCCAGAATATTTCAACCTCTCCTCTAATCCTGCCACCAGCTTCTTCTCTCTTTTCACATTGCTGATGAGGGGCCTGAATGAAGACAATACCACAAGATTATGTTTCAAGATGGCAGGAGGCCACAGCTTTAAAGAATGCATCGCATAAAGGGGAAGGCAGCCCTCACAGTTGCCATTAATCTCAGCTCTCGATCTCTGTAGGGGAGCCAAAGATATCTTCTTTCCACAAGTATCTGTGCTGTCCATGGCAGGAGCAAAGAGATTCACATTACAATACCAGCTCCCCATCTCACTGCTGGGGTCTGCTGCGTGTTCAGTGTTAATTTTTATTTCCTCAACTTGGCATTTGAAAATAAGAGGCTTCAAGTTCTCTAGAGTAGCTGCTGCTGCAAGCAAATGGTAGGCTGCAGACGGCAGAGGACCGTGTGCAGGTGGTACGCTGGCTAGCTCATGGCCTTGCATCAGCTTCTCCTCTTGTCTAGTTCAGAGCACCTGCTCTCGTCACCTGCAGGTGGGCCCCCTCAGACATGGTAGCCACGAGCAGCCATAGACAATCTGTGGACAAAAATAAAGTTCTTCACCAGGCAGTATTTTCCTGTGTCCTGCCCATCATACAGGCATCTACTGTGGTTTTTCTAGACAGAGCCTTTTGTACCAACATCAGACAGAAGTTGATCTACATAAATGAAAAGATGTTGAAGTCCTCATTCTGCATTTGTGTCCCTTGTGATGATGTCAGTTGATCCTACTTCATGGCAGGAAAGCTCTTCACAGAAAAAGTTCGGGCTCAGTTGACTCCTATGCTTGCTCTCTTTGCCGTGTCCTTTTAGCCCAGGAGACATTTCTGCCTCCCAAAGACAAACTTTCTGTGGGAAAACTGCAGAGATACTAATTCCACAATAAACAAAATATTGAATGCTTTCAGTTACGTGATAGAGTTCAGAGAACAGCAGCCCGTATATCACTAATAGTAATAAACTGGTCTCTTGCTTGTTGGACCCTTCTGTGTGTTCCTGTGGTCTGAGACATGGAACTAATCATTAGAAGAATTTTCCAGTTTTTAACACTTTGTAGTCAAATGTAGGTTATTCAGTGACATGGGGGAAAACATTAGTTCTTTAATGTCCCGTACTGTCAGTAACTTTTCTGTTGCATATTTCTTTGTAGCATTTCTTCCTCTTCGAGGTGGCTGAGCCAGAAAGCCCCAGTACAATGAGAAAGACAAAACAGTAGCATGTTTGTCAAGAAGTTGCAATGTCAGGAGGAAAAAATACCACAATCTAGCTCAGTCAGATTTTAAAAATAATTTTTTAGGTTTTGGAGGGCAGTATAGATAACACATAAGAGAAAACTCTCTCAAAAGACTTTTAAAAGTTACTGTTTGGTATGAATCAATTTCTTGTTGTTGTTTGTTTAAGATGGTGACTCACACCCAGTCAGAAGCAGCAGTCATGTTTTAGGCAGTGGTCATACAAGCCAAATAGGGGTGTGTGGGGAAGTCCATGTCCTTACCAGTTTTCAATGTAAAGTTTTAAAACCAGTGAGGGAGCATAACCAAGGTGAGGAAGTTAATATAGATAAAATATATTAAGGTTATAGATTAACTATATAAACTCTTACTCTGCACAGTTGGTCATTTCTGAATCATCTGGAAACTTCTGGTATGCATTACACACAAATAAACTAGCTATCCTCATCTGCCCTTCACCATAGCCATCTGTCCTCTACTCTCCTCTTTCGTCAGACTAGTTTCATATTAAGAACTATGAACAAAGAGAAGTAAAGAAGCTGATTCACAAACTTCTCCGAAATCTGATGCAGATCCCTGGCAAGCAGCATGGTGGGATGATCTGTAACAGCAAAAATTCATTGTATCACCTAACAGTACTTGAGAGAGCTCCCACTTTCAAAGGCAAATCTGTCGGAAGAATGGCATTGTCTTGAAAGACAAGAGGAAAAGCTTTTGCAGAGCTGCTGTGGTGCAGGTGGGACCCAGCCTTCTCTAAACTAGCATGGGGTTTATAGGTAAGGTGCATGTCCCTTGCCTTCCGATGTCTACACCGCAGATGTCTGCACCTGCACTAGCTCTTTGGGTCCCTTACTTGCTGATGGGAGGGTGATGGGCACTTGTGAGAAGTGACTAGTCTACGGGAATATGCCCTACAGGGAGGCCTGTTATCTGTACACTGCCCCTTGCTCTGCACTGAAGGGATTTAAAACAAGCGGCTAAATGTAGTTTGCATTGCTGCCAGGTGAGATGAATCCCACCATTGGGGTCCATCAGCATCACTAGAGAAGCGCTGAGGTCAAGTGCAGTGACCACTTGGCTGCTTCCCACCCTTGCTACAGGTTGCAGCCACACTGGAGTGAGTTCAGGAAGGGCTGAGCTTCAGCCAGCTGCTGGTAGTCTAGGTTGAGCTGGGCAGACGAGGCAGAGGAGAGAGTGATTCCACGCAACGTGCTGAATGTGTATGTGATCCCTCTCATGGGGTATTCTGGAGCTTAGGCTGAGCAGTGACTCGGTGCCATGCTTAGCAGGTAGACCTGACTGTCCTCAGTGAGTTTGATTCAGGTTCTGGCCAGTGTGTCTTGG